CAACTGCCAGCGCAGACCGAGATTGAGATATTACGGCGCCTGCTGTAATCGTAGTCGGGCGTGTGAAACAATTCCCTCACGGCGCCGCGTCCGTGGCCCCGCACACAGTGGGCCAGAAGACCGGAGGAGGCGGCGAATTTCTAGACGCGGTTTTAGCTCCAGAGTCGCTAAATGGGACTCGAACCGAATGTGTGACCCTTACAATGGATTGCTCTGCGAACGAGGAATCCATTGGTGGGGTCACATGTTCCGTTCGAGTCCCATTTAGCGACTCTGGAGCTCCAAACGCGTCCGGGATTTTGACCGCCCCCACCGGTCTTCTGGCCCACTGTGCCGTTGGCCCGTCCGTGGCCCCGCGGCGCGAGCGCGGCGGTACACCAGTCAGAAAATAATTAATCGCGTGTCGGTGTGATGATCGTCGTTAATTACAGGGCGACCTGCGCGCCGCGACGGCCCTCTGTCCAATCCCCTGGCTTTAATTTTTTTCATCAGAAAAAAAATTACAAATACGTAGCTGCAACGTCAGAGCGGCGCTGAAAAAACAGCAACAAAACACAAAGAGGGACATAAAGAGGATAAATTTCCCTCTTCACGCGGGGGCAGCATCTGGCCGGCAAAAACGGAACGGTTCACATGGAACCAGAGACGAGCCTAGGGCTTAAACCAACTCTCCTCTGGAACATTGACACAATTATTCGCAAAATTATGGCAGGGAAACGAGAGAAAATAGTCTTGGGACGGCGGACGGACCGGAAAGGGGGAGGGGAGGGGAAGTCCACGGGCCAGGCAGGGCAAGCCATTGCTAGCCCGCGGTGTACGCGGTAGCCAGGAATCGCAGCAGGTTTCGGCGAATCAAATCTGACTGGATCGTTACGCAGAGAGGCAGGGCACGGCACGGCACGGCTCGGCGTGGGGCGTGGCACGGCACGGCGTGGCACGGCACTGCAAGGCTGGTGCGGCCGCCCCGAGGCGGGCACGGGCAGGCCAAGCCGAGCAGACGGCGAGTCGCGGCACGACAGGTCCGGGCCCAGAGCCGGCGGCCACCAGACGGCTTACGGACTAAGGAATCGATTCAGACAGGACAGCGCCGGCATGCCCGATGGACCACGCGGACGGATGTGCAGGGAATGCGGTGAAGGGGGCACCCGGAGGGCTCCCCAAGGGCCTTGACTCGAAGGGCTCCCGGAGGGCCACCAAGGGCTCCCGGAGGGCTCCCGGAGGGCTCCCGGAGGGCTCCCGGAGGGCTTCCGAAGACCTCCCGAAGGGCCTTGGGGGCCGGAAGGACTTCGTGGGTCTCCCGAAGGGCACCCAAGAACGCCACGTGTCACGTGACACCGTATGAATGTGAACAAGCTGATTTTTGGCCAATTCACACAAACGAATGTGACACAATGCTCATTTCGTTCCTGGAATGAGAGTGCAGAGAGACACATAGAGAGAGAGAGAGAGAGAGAGAGAGAGAGAGAGAGAGAGAGAGGAGAGAGGGAGAGAGAGAGAGAGAGAGCGCCCAGTCTGCTTGACATTCTCCTGGAATCGGGAGCAAGGTGAGTGGGCGTGCTCCGCGGTGCTGCGCGTTGCCGCGCGGGTATCCGGAGGTAATGACAGAGGAAAGCGCACCGATACACGGACTTTTTTTTCGCAACGCCGCGGCGAAGGCTGGGCCGGGCCGCTCGGTCCGAGGCGCGGTCCCCCGGTTTGAACAAAAGGCCGCGGGCTGAATGGCTAATGGGGCCGGACAGCGATTCCCTCCTTTCCGGGATCGCAGCGCGTGGCGCTGAACACGCGCCGCGCGGAGGTGCGCAGAGCGAGGGCACGCTTTCGCGTGGAAACCGCGAGGCCCTGGCGAGGCCCAAGCCCCATGAGTGTGAGGGAGACAGGGCGACGAGAACGACTTTCCGAATCGGTTTACAGGCCAGGACCATGTGTAGGCGGAGGTCGGCACGGTTTTGCCTTGGCTTTGCTGGGCCCGCGGGCACGCCGACTAACTAGCGAGTGGAACAGATAGTATTTGTGGCAAAGCAGCAGACCGAATCCGAAAAAATAGTCTGTCTCTCTCGCACTCACGAGGTGACCGCATGGGTGTGAGAGAGAGAGAGAGAGAGAGAGAGAGAGAGAGAGAGAGAGAGAGAGAGAGAGAGAGAGAGAGAGAGAGAGCGACGACCGCCCCGACAGTAAAACGCGACGCCCTGAGGCCCCGCGGCTGCAGTGGGGCACACCGGGCACGCGTCAAGGCGCGGGCAGCACAGCTCAGCGACTCCAAGTCGCTCTGTCTCTCTCGCACCCCTACGGTGCGTCCCATGAGTGCGACAGAGACAGAGCGACAAAACGATCCAAAGGAATCGCTCGGCAGCGTCACGCCGGCCTAGAAATGGAAATGAACCGGAGAAACTTGGACGCCGCGCCTCAGCGACAATAACTTGAACGGCCGGCCTTTGCAGTCGGGTATTCCGCGGACCTGGAGCTACACCAACAAGCCCTTCACGCGCCCACGGATATGACGATTGCTATTTTCACTCTATTAGTCAAAAACTCGTTAAGTTCGCGCGTCTAGCGCAGCACATTACATTCATTTCTAAAGTCGGTTCGTCATTGTTTTGCTCCCCGACGCACGGCACGACTCCCTGACGTAACCGCGTTACCTACATGAGCACTGTTGGAAAAGGTCTGAAAATTCAGAACTTTTGTTTTTCTAATTCCTTCTCTGAAATGGGAATTCACACTAAGGTGTTAGATTTCATATGGCTTAGCAAGTTCAGACTTTTATAGAAAATTTCATGACCGTGCAGTTACGGAGTTCCAGCTCTGAAATTGGCTGGGTTCATTTCGACACGCTGTAGGATCCAGGAGCCAGATACCACGCTATTGAGTCCACAAGGAAGAGGCCCTTCTCAAGGGTTCGCCTTGTAAGGGCTCTCCTGGCCGGACCGCACGGCAGTCGGTATCAGTCACTCCACAATGGACGCCGCGGCCGCTCCGCGAGCCGCCGACGTAAGTCGCCAATCAGGCGGAGAACGCTCCCCGTGTAAGCCCCGACTCCATCTGCGAGCATTATGCAGGTACAACAAACGTACTTTGCAAACTCAAGAGTATGCTGCAGCTATTGTGAAACGAAAGCGTAGTGTTAACCTCTATTTTCAGGTGTACTCAATCCGTACGCCTGAAATAAAGCGCATTAGGCCCATCTGCCCACATGACCCACATTTTTCCTATCTGAATGCATGGGGAAGTTTCTAGTCAATCGGTATTCAGCCTATGGATCCAGCCAGACCCAATTTCGACTCGCGAAAAATATTTTCGCGGCTTGTAGCATAGGTTTCAGGGATTGTGTTGCCTGAAGGCGAAGAGTATTATCCCAGCCACGAGCAAGACAAGGAACATTTTACCAGGCCAAGAGAGTTTCCTCAGACCAAGAGCATTTCCTTTGGCCAAGAGAATTTTCTTCTGGGGGTCACGAGTCAGAAAGGTTGAAAACCGCTTTTCTAGTCAATGTTGGCAGGATTCAACCCGACGCGTGCCATGCCCACTCTATAGAGTTTGTAAAGTAGGGTTGTTCTAAAGTCACGCTTTGACCTTACCCTTTCACAGTCGCCATCCTCGATTTCTATTTCAACTGACCTAGCCTCACCCACAAAGCGGCCCAGCAGGTTGAGCGGTGCGGCGGTCACAGAGGCCTGTTGGCATAACCACCAAATGGATTCATGGACGCCGACGCAGAAAAGCAAAACGGCAAACCGTCACATCACACGAGATTAAATCCGATGAAGAGGATGCATTTCATTGATATTAAAAGCCAGCCCATCATTTAGCTGCTTATTGCGCGGCCAGCACCACTGATTGAATTAAATTCTACCTTTTTTTTGCCACATTTCAATTCGGATCGAAACTGTTCCACTCCGATGACGGCCGACCGAGCCCTTCCAAAGCGCGGCGCGGCCTTTGAGGTCGGCTAATAAATCCAGCGCATTGTACGCTGAGAGTCGTGTTCGTCGCTGTCTCACTCGCACCTATACGGAAGCCCCCGCGAGTGTAAGAGAGACATAGCGACGGAAATGTCTCTCGGAATCAGTCTGCTGGTTGAGGAAATTTGTCGGTGTGCGTTTAGCGTCGTGTCGCATTATGCCTCGGCGGGGTCTTCTTGTGCGTGCGCAACATGCCGGACGTCCAGTCGTCCCACCTAATGCGCCATTGTCTCTCAACGACAACGGCAAATCGAAAATGTTGAAGCTTTGTGACCACACGACAACATTTCCCATAACACCAAAAATTGGGCGAAGCACAAAACGAACGCTGTTTTGTCTCAGGTTTTTTCTAGGGCCTTCTTTGTGAAAATTAAAAGGATTGGCATTTGCCGAGAATTTCAAGGAGTTATTATGTGCAGTTTGTGCTGGATTCGTTGTATATTCCAGATTCAATTTTAGGGCTTTGAATGAGCACTATGGACAGGTTCGCGTTCAAACCCCCCTCCCTTTATCAGTCTTCCCGAATCTCGTCACTTTCAGGCGCCCACATCACACGGCAACATCGCCCTCCCCCTTGAAGACACACTTCGTCCCTTCCTTTATCAACGCCATCGCAGCAAACAGCACCCTGGAGACGTGTCGCCAAATATGAAGCTGACGGCGTGCGTTGCAGGGCGCGAGTTCAAATCCCATTAGAAGTACAGCACGACGGGAAAAATGGTGGAAAATCCAAGGGGGGGAGGGATGAGTCTGAGGCAATTAGTCCATTGTTTCACCTTCATCAAAATATAAATCGAATCAGCAGAGTTTTCCCCGAGTTAGATTTTGTGTGAACGTTTATCTGGACAACACTTTAGAAGCTGAAGCGATTTTTGAGCAAGGTGCCGAGGACGTTTGGTTCGCTGGTATCGCACAGACCTCCACGGTCAGAAACTGATCCTTCCCAGGTCAAAACTTGAAACACCCTTTCTGAGAATTTGGAGCTTGACTTTTTGCCCCCCGAAATACAAAAACATGACAAAGTCGGATTCCCGGACTCACCTTCGTACATCTGCGCATACTGAGGAAATCCCGCCGCTCGCAGCCATTTGCACGCCTCGGCCGCCTCGATCTCTGCAACAAAAACGACTCGTTACGGGGTGGGTGCCGACAGCCTCGCAAAAACGCTATTCGCAGGGCGCCGCGATGAATGCAGCGTATTCACAGGCCGAGCCCGCGAACCGGCACCGTCATTGAGGATAAGCCGGCAGACTGATTCCGAAAGTCGTTTTCGTCGCTCTGTCTCCCTCGCACCTGGACGGGACGATCCATGATGAGTGCGAGAGAGGCAGAGCGACGAAAGGTTCGGAGTCCGCGCGCAGCGACGACGCCTGTCCGGCCTTCCGCAGTCAAAGGGCCTGCACGTTATTCGCACTGCGAACCGCGCGTTGCTATTGGCAGCTCGTTACAGGGCGCACTTCCCTGTGTAGTGGTGTTCTAATTATGCGGGGGGCGTGGCATGGCGTGGCATGGCGTGGCATGGCGTGGCCTGGCGCGGCGGCGCGGACAGCGGCCACGCGCTTCGAGGTAGAACCTCATTACCAGTGTAAAACGATCGGCCTGCACGCACCGCGCACTGCCGCGCCCGTTAGCGACTTCGCATTGTGCCGAAACGTGGTTCGCCGCTTCCAGATTCCCGCCAGAACGGAGCGCGCTGATTGGCCGCATGCGTCGGGATGTATGGCCACGCTGCCGCACTGGAGAGTATCACCCGACGCCGGTCCATGCAAACTTAACATTTACGCACTTTTGTTGCCCATTACTATTGAAAGATTCACACACATGTATGCTATGTCCAGTTTACAACACATGTAAGGGACAATAATTCAATACTGTGCACAGTTGAAGTAAAAATTTGAACAACTTGCACTTGGACAAATTCGTCCGTTATCGGTTCAGTCTTTGATGCGTCTATTAAAAATCTATATGAGAATTTTTCATAAAATTTGGTTGTTAATGAAACCTGTCACTTGATTATTTTCAAATCTCTGAGACAACCCAGCAAATAAATTTCACATGATTCCAACAGGATTAGCGAAACGAATTTTTTAATACAGCATTGAGTGTAGAAACGCATGCCAGTTCGAAAATTGCAGGGTTGATTTCCAAACTTAGAACAAAGCCGTTGTCAAATACTTTGCAAAACAGAGTTATTTTTGCTGCGGCGTGACCGGCCTTCCTCGCCGCTGCCATCGAATTCACATCAGTTTCTCCCCGAGGAGGCCGCGGCCGGACATTGCGGGCGCGCGCTGTCCGCGGCGCCGCGGTTCGATCCCCGGCCGCGTGATTCATACCGTGCCGCATAACGCGTCAGTGTGTCAGTCACAATGCGGCGTGTAACGCGTAACTCATTAAGACGAGTCGGAGAGCCGCGCCGCGCAACATTCGTGAATCAAACACGCCGCTTTGTTGGCGCCAACAATCGCCGGGGCGTCGCGGGCGTCGCGGGGCGTGAGCGAAAATGGGGCATTACCGGCTTTTCACGGTCGCCGGGGCGCCGCGCCGCCCAGCCCTCCCGGCGCCCCACGCCGCTACACGCTAAACGCGTTTGCGACGCGTTGCGGCAGGAAGAGCAGAGGGCGAAGTGGGCCGCCCTGCGACAGGTCTATGGCAGCGTACAGATTCCGCGAGTCGTTTTCGTCGCGCTGTCTCTCTCGCACTCATGGGGCGCCGCGTGTGCGTGCGAGAGAGACAGAGCGACGAAAACGACTCGCGGAATGAGTCCGCAGGTCTGCGCAGCGCTTGCGCAACGAGCGGCGCCGCGAAACGCACTGCAGACGGCTGGCTGCGGTTAGGTGCAGTTAGTGCGCGAACCGCGCTACTGGCATGCGCGCGGCATGCGCCGTGCGCGTGGTCGCGCTCGTCTGGCAGGGCTGGGTTCGAATCCCCGCACAGCGCGGCGTTTTCTACCAGCGTATGCCCTTTCCACACCTTCCTGGATCCACACGCACCGCGGAGCGCACTCTCTATACAGTGCCCCAGGGCAGCCGAGGCACGGCAGTCCTTGTTAGACCACGGCCACCCCTGCTTGGATTGCGCAGGACTCGCTGTGCACACAGCGCTGGCTCCACAGCCGCGTCCTAAGGCAGCCCTGCAAAACAAACACATTACCTGGACCCGGCCCGCCAGACGCAGCAGAGCGCCACTGCCTAGCGGGCCGGGCGCCGCCACCACGCCCCGTTCAGGCAGCATCCCTCGACAGGTTGCTTTATAGATCCGGCCCGCCAACCAGGGGCCAAAGCCGCCACTGCGGAATGATTCGCTGCGTCTCTCTCGCACTCACGGGGCGTCCTCTTCAGGTGCGAGAGAGACGGAGCGACTATTGTGGCGTTGCAGCGAGGCGACGAACTTGGCGCCACACGCAGAAGGGCGCCGCAAAAAACAGGAGCCGCTCTTCGCGGAGTGCTGACTGCAGATCCTTGTAGCGCAAAGTGCAGCCGTTTTCCACCTGCCAAGATGCTTCCCCGTTTTTCGTTCGCACCGTCTCAAGGACTGGCTGCATTACTCTCCTCTTCAGCGATTGCCCACCATCAAGCGGCCCTTGCAACAAACCGACAAACCGGAGCTGTGCAGGCGTCGATCTACGGGCGAGTGGAAGCCTCCTCGAAGGTAGGCAAAGAGGGGCACTTCACTTAGATTACGGTGAAAACAGTGCCTTGTTTGCCCTTTAGAGACATATGCGATTTCCAGGGAGCTCTTGGAAAAACCAGGAACCGTTTTTTTACCGTGATGTAAGCTGTCAACTATCGTGATATTCTTCTATCTCCGGATCCACGCCTGGAGCCGAGCGACGCGAAATCAACGACCCCGCCGCCGCCGTGTGCATGTGCATCTCCGAACGCACGAGCCCTCCGACGAAAATCAAAACCAAGTCGACCCTTTGTGGTCCTCTGGGCCCTTTGGAAGCCCTTCAGGACCACACTCACACCGCCCTGATCAGCTGATGAGGTCGATTCAGGCAAGGGTCGGGGGGTCATGTCGGCTCCGGCACCATAAACACACTTTCCCTCTTACCGAAGGAAGATTAATGAGGCCCGAGGCCGAGGACGGCCGAGGACGGCCGAGGACACGACGGTGACGTCGACGGCCAGTCGGCCGCTCGCTCGCCGGCATTTCCAATAAGCTTCAGATCGGACAACACAATACTGCGCCAAAGGCAGCCAAAGGCACGCGGAAAGCGAATGGAACCGCGACACTCGAAGCCGTCGCGCTCTGCGAGGCTGGCAGGCTGGCGCCACTTCGTTACCTAAACCCTTCCCGCGGGCCTTGCAGGCCGAGAGTCATCTTCGTCGCTTTGTCTCTCTTGGACTCGAGACCGCCCCGTACAGGTGCGAGAGAGACAGAGACGACGACTCCGGAATCGGTCTGCTGCAGAGGGCGGGCCGTCCCTTTTACAGCGTGATTGATACGATGGTGCCGCCCAGGCGACGCACGGGGGCGCCTCGTCCGTGTGGTCGCCGAATCCCGGCCGAACCGTCGGTAGATGTCTCGGCAGATGTCGCCCGAGATTCGACAAGACGTGCCGTGATTGCGGCCCTAGATTCATCAGCCACGGCGAAAAAAGTAAATAAACACGGGAATCGTGTGGCAGCAGGGTGGCAGCCGACTGGGACGCCCTGTGGCCAATCCCTGTGGCGGAGCGCCAGCCAAACTTTCTAGACAAGTTGAACCGCACAGTCATTGTTGCTGTTGGGACCGGGCGCGCGCAATTCGCTCCAACAACATCTCCGACGCTGGCAGCTGATGGCCTGGGCAACCGGTGGCTGGCAGGACTATAGTGGACTAACGCGATCACTTTGGTGGAATGGAATGGAGGGACCTGCTTGGGATTAGCATGGAGTCCCTGCGACAGGTTGTTTACACCTCATGAGCATCGGGGCCAGACTGGCAGACTGGCGACACGGGAACAATGGCGGCTCGGTTTCACGACGAGAAGAAGCGCAAGAAGCTGAAGGCGGGAAGGAAACTCGACTGCGAGAAATCCCAACGTGTTCCACAAACAAAATTCCGCGTTTTGAGGTTGAGGTGAGTTCGTTTACCCCAGTGGACACCCACATCACGTCCGATCTGCCACAGCCCCGCCAGGGCCCCGCCCCCGCTAACCGCCCAGCGACCGATAATGGCTTCAGTGCCAAAACTGGCGGAGCTGGCGGAGCACAGCCAGCACAGCCCCCAACGAGGCTCTTATATACACCTGTCTCCCCGCCCACCGCGTTTTTACGTTTATACCGACGTTACCGAATCGCCACCAAACACGGCCCGACAGAGTCCCAGAACAATGGTCAGTCATACCGGACGGCGCCACCCCGCCGGATAGGCCGGGCTGCGTCCGCGCGGCGCCCAGTCGCACAAAGCAGTGGACCCACTTTCGGAGGCGACCCTCTCCCCGGCGGACCTGCATCCCTCGATTTGTATCGCATGTCTTTCCCTCTACCCGTTGACAACGCATCAAAGGACGCCGGCAAGAATGTCAACGAAGTTTTTGGCATTCCAAGAGGCACCACAATGGTCTATGCAGATGCTTCGGTTTTGTGGCGGTCGCGAAATGCTAAAGAAGATGGTCCAGCGGGTGGAAGTCAAAGAAGAGACGAGTGGAATATTTTGTGTACACTGCGGAGAATGAGTGACATGACATTTAACCGCGACGCCGCGAGTAAAAGAAAGTCATTCGAACTCTGGTTCTATTTTCCGTGCGATTTTCAATACATACTAAGAGAGTCGTGTCAAGCGCGGCTTCTTCGCTGGAGGGATTTCTTTTACACGCCCAATTTTCTGCTGAAAACTGCAACCAGGCCGAAGTCAAATCTTTTTAGATTTCTGTGCGGCCCTTAATATTTTCATAGCTCAGAAATCTGTTAGAAACCAAACTGTGCCCACGTATCTGTAAACATGTGACCTATTGGTCTCAAATATGCCTCGGAGCGATACGTTATTTGCAGGTGATACACCACGTATTGACACGGCCAGCGCCTTGATCTCATTGGCATGAAAAGGAGCACGGGCGGCCGGTGCAGCAAAGCGCCACGCCCCATTGCACCGCCTTTGTCGCGGAGCGCCTTTGTCGCTGTGTGCAG